AGTTTCTTGAGTTCTTTATATATTTTGGATATTAGCCCTCTATCTGATAAGTAATTTGTATTTTTTTTTTCATCCTATAGCCTACCTCTTTGGCTTAATGATATCCTTTACCATAAGGATGATTTTCAGTTTCATTTATTAATTATTGATCTTAGTACCTCTGCTAATGGTGTTCTGTCCAGATAGGTTTTTCCCATGCCAATGAATTTGAGGATATTCCCTACTTTCTATTCTATCAGGTCCAGTGTATCTTGTTTTATGCTGAGGTCTTTGATACATTTGGAGTTGAGCTTTCTGCAGGGTGATAAATATGGATCTATCTCAATTATTCCACATGCAGCCATCCTGTTCGACCAGCACCTTTTGTTGAAGTTGATGTCTTATTTTCCAATGTGCATTTTTGGTTTCTTTATAAAAAAAAAAATCAGGCGTCCAAAGATTTGCTGATTTATTGGGTTTTTAATTAAGTTCTACTGATCAACATGTCTGATTTTTATATGTGTAGCCTTTTTGGTTCCCTCCTACTCTGGCTCCTCCCCCTGACCATGTCTTTCCTCTGTATTCTCCTCATATTTATTGTTTTACCCTGTCTTTTTTTTTTTAATTTGTATTTTTATTTTGCAATACAATTCAGTTCTACATATCAGCCATGGATTCCCTTGTTCTCCCCCCTATGGCCCCCCTCACCTTTCCCCCAGCCCACCCCCCATTCCCACCTCCTCCAGGGCAAAGCCTCCCCTGCGGACTGAGATCAACCTGGTAGATTCAGTCCAGGTAGGTCCAGTTCCCTCCTCCCAGGCCGAGCCAAGCGATCCTGCATAGGCCCCAGGTTTCAAACAGCCAACTCATGCAATGAGCACAGGACCTGGTCCCACTGCCTGGATGCCTCCCAAACAGATCAAGCCAATCAACTGTCTCACCCATTCAGATGGCCTGGTCCAGTTGGTGACCCCTCAGCCATTGGTTCATAGTTCATGTGTTTCCATTCATTTGGCTATTTGTCCCTGTGCTTTATCCAACCTTGGTCTCAACAATTCTCGCTCATATAAACCCTCCTCATTCTCGCTAATTGGACTCCCAGAGATCCACCAGGGGCCTAGCCATGGATCTCTGCATCCAGATCCCTCAGTAGTTGGATGGGGTTTCTAGCACGACAATTAGGGTGTTTGGCCATCCCATCACCAGAGTAGGTCAGTTCGGGCTGTATCTCGACCATTGCCAGCAGTCTGTTGTGATTGTTTTACCCTGTCTTTTAAATGTTTTATTTACTTTGCCAACTTCCCTTAAAATAGTCAGACTTCTTCCTATACCCAGGTAGGGAATGCTCCACATAAGCTCTCGTCATGGCTGTCATCCTGCAACAGCTCCGTTTGTTTCTGATATGTATGCTAGAAGACAGGTAGATACTGTGGAGGAGTTCTGGCTCTAAGTAACTTTCACCCAAAACCAGATACAGTTCTTTCCATCATTTGTATTTCCTCTTGTTTTTTTTTCCTTTTATGTTCTGTAGCTCCTGCTGCTTCTGCTAGCTTAGTCTGGTGCAGTATTCCTGGCCATAGAACTACTGCTACTGTCACCCCAAATGACTGGACCTGGGAGGAATATGTTTCCCTAGCATTCTTTTATTTCACTTGTATCACAACCTTAGCATCATATGCTGCCACCCCTTACTTCAACCTGTTAGAGCACTCCTCCATCTCAAGCTTTTAAAAGTGAAATATCCTTTTCACTAACCACAACACCTATATTCCCCAACTTCTCCCTCTCGTTATAATGCTTCTATGGACTCTATTCTCATCTTTGCCCTTATTCTCCACACAAGAGGTCTAGATATCCCTCTTAAACTGAACTACCTCATCAGCTCTTAAAGGCAGCCGACTCTACTTATAAATCAGCTACTGAGATATATATATGTGTGTGTGTGTGTGTGTGTGTGTGTGTGTGTGTGTGTGTGTGTGTTGGTTTTTTGAGATAGAATTTCTCGGTATAGCTTTGGTGCCTGTCCTGGATCTCGTTCTGTAGACCAGGCTGGCCTCAAACTCACAGAGATCCACCTGGCTCTACCTTTAATCCCGTGCTGGGTTTAAAGGCATGCACTACCGCCTGGCTCAGCTACTTGTCTTATCCTTCCACTAAGGTCCAGTGGTCCTGATTCTGTATCCCATCACTATGGATCCACATCCCTCTCAAGCTACACCTTTACCTAGTGACTGACCCTGTCCTGGGTCCTTACAACATACCTTCAAAGACAGTTCCACCTTTTCCAGCCTCTTATCATCTGATACTCTTTCCATAATCCTAAATCAGACTCTTTCTTCCAATTTATCAACTTCACTAATATCCTTTGCATTTTGACCCACCCGACCCCTGCCAAATAACACATCCCTTTAAGACACAATACAAACCCTTCCCTCACCCTATATATGGTGTTCTATCTATGGGCACTCACCTCTTCTTGCTGGCTTCCACTTCCACTCCTCTCCCTCCACCTCCATCTTTTGGGGATAACTTTCAGTTTCACTCTTCAACAAAAACATTCACTTTCAGGCTCTGAATGATTATTTCTCAGAAGTTACTCTAGGAGTGCAGGGGAGCAAGCCCACAATTCACAGAAGCTGATCAGTTAAAGCTCTTCTATTGTCATGGATTTCAACTTGGCCAATGCCCCCCTTAGATCCTGGGGACAGAATTTAACTGCCTCCTACCTCTACTGCCCACCTTCTTCAGGAAGTAACCAGTGAGAGAATACATCCCCACCATTTAGCTGTAGTCTGGGTCTGGAATGAAAGGTTCATGACCTAGAAGCCTCAAGTGGATTAAAAAAGTTGACTCAACTAATAACATCCATTGAAAGCTTCTGAGAAAGAGATCCACAAACCAAAGCTGCTGGTGTTACTACTTACAGATTTCAGGAGAAGTGACTTACTGATGACTCTTCCATCTCCAAAGTCCCCCCTTTTCTGTCCTATAAAATTTAAAGGCCATAAAACCTGTGTGCACAATTCTACTTTCATGGGGAGACTACCACACTTCATTTTTTTCTGAATAAAAAATAATCTGCTTCTGGAAAAAACAAAAAACAAAAACAACAACAAAAAAATAAACAATAAAATCCCTTACTCTTAATTTGGATAAGTATAGAATTTCTTTTTTGACTTTAAATTGTATTCAAAATAAAATACCATTAGAAAATTAACAAGTGTCATTCCTTTTAAAATTATTTAATTTATTTTTGAGATTATAATATAATTACATCATTTACCACTTTTCTTTCCTCTCTCCAAGTCCTCTCATCTACTCCTTCTTGTTCTCTATCAACTTCACGGCATCTTTTTTCATTAATTGTTATTACAAGTATATATGTACATATTTTTATGTTCCTAAATATAGTCTATTAGTATGTATAATGTTACTTGTACATATATTTTCAGGGCTGAACATTTGGTATCGGATAATGACTTATAGTCTGCCATTGCCTGGGGAAAATTATTTCTTATGCTCTCAGCATTCCCTAGTTACCTATAGTTCCTTGTGTAGGGTTGGGGATTCGTGCTCTTTGCTAATGAACTTTGGCAAGTCTATTGGTCTTGTCCTTGTTCAGCTCATGTTTAGGCAGCCATGTTTGTGAGACTTTCTGTGTGAAGCTTCTGATATTACTAGTTGTGGTGGTGTGGTCCCCAAATGCATTGACACTACTAGGAGGTATAGCCTTGTTGAAGTAGGTGTCGCCTTGTCATAGGAAGTATATCACTGTGGGAGTGGGCTTTGAGGTCTCTTTTGCTCGAGCTTTGCTCAGTGTGAAACTCAGAACACTTCCTGTTGCCTGCAAGATGTAGGACTCTCAGCTACTTCTCCAGCACCATGTTTGCATGTCACCATGTCTCAATGTGATGATAATGGACTGAATCTCTGAAATTGTGAGTGAGCCACCCCAATTAAATGTTTTCCTTTATAAGAGTTGCTGTGGTCATGGTGTCTCATCACAGCAATAGAAACCCTAACTAAGATACTAGGAGACAGTCTCACAGAAAATTCTCGGATACATTTATCTGTGCATATAAGACAAATATTCAGAATTTAATTAAAGATTATGCTGTTTTGATGAAGTGTGGTTGTAAGTTCTCCCCTAGATCCATGACTTCACTAATACTGTTTCATTGACTATATTTCCAGTATCAGGCATGATTTCTCTCCTCTTGCGTGCCTTAAGTCCAATTAGAGATCTATTGGTAGTTAAGGTACTCCTGTCTCTGCTGTACTTTTATTGTTATTGTGTCAGGCTGGTCATTGTTGTGGTTCATAGGCATCATAGGATAGGAATGTTGGGTGCTTTCTTCCTTTGGAAGCTTTCACGGCTCTTTCTGGTGCCATGGAAGCCAGTAGTCAGTGAAAGGATATTCAGGGGCTTGGAACTCAAGCACATGGTGTCTTCAACAATGTTGACTTACCTTCTGCCTCTGGAGTTCATCTAAGGAAAGTAATAATAGCCTGTAATGTTTTGGTCATCTGGTTGGATAACTTTGACCAACAACTCAAAAGAGGGATTCTCACCTGATGTTAGGTGGTCTTTGGCTCTTTGAGAGTCTTGGACTCCCGGATAGAGCACTGCAAGCTCAAATAAGAAAGTTTCATTTAAGCTATTTATGTATATTTATATGTGGACTTGCATGATTATAAGAATTTTAGTGGATATTCAATCGTATGACTACTTATAACTTTTTTAGACATCCTTTCTATTATTTTATCCTCTCTTCTCCTTCTTCCTCCACTCTTTTTAGTCTTATGCTTTCTTCTATTATTTTTATTTATAATTTAATTTATAGTTATAAATTAATTAATTTACTTATAATTAAGATATTAACTCCTGTAATTTAAACACAGTTTACAACTTAACATGAATAAGGACTAAATTTTTTCTGCTATTGCTTTAGGCCACAGACCTTAATACAATGAGTACCAAGAATGCAGCCCCTGTTCAGATTCATTCTCTCTTTTCTTAGGAGGCTAATTTGGAGAGAGACCATCAAGGACTGGAAGACTGATATTCTCCTCACCATCATTTCCTCTATAGTCTGTGGAGCCACCCTTTGTCCCATTGCAGGCTAACCTGATCCTTCTGTTCCTGTTCCTGCCTGACTTCTACCTGCTGCTTGCCCTGCTCTCAGCATTTCAAGTCAGAAAACCACTGGGTGCAAAGCATAATTTATGTCTTAAATGCATGTAGCTTTAGTTTTGACTTCCATTGATAATTCCTTACTGACTTTTTCAAGATGAATGTTCTATTTTGAAATATTTCTGTCAGTTTTATTTTAGATGTATGCATGATAAATATATGACCAAGTGTTGTCTGATATTTTTTGTGAGGTTTTTCTATATATCAAGGAAATTTTCATCTTCAAACGTCCTTTTTGATGTTTGTCCTGAATTCTGACCTTTCAGTCTCCTTCTCTCGCTTTCTTTTTTTCTTTCAACTCTAACTCTCCTATTCTTGCTTTTTTGTTTTCATAGATTTCTACCAGCAAATCTTCATATTCTCTTCTGTCAGTTTACTTATTTAATTAATTAGTTTTGAAAAAGAGTCTTCTTATGACTTCTGCCTGGCCTGGCACTCACTATAGAGACCATGCTGGTCTTGTACTCACAGAGATCTGCCTGGCTCTGCTTCTCATGTGCTGGAATTAAAGGTGTACACCACATCTTGCCCCTTCTATAAGTTTAAAGCAATACCCATTAACTGTATTTCATCCCCATCTTTTGTTTTGTTTTGTTTTTGTTTTTTGTTTTTGTTTTTGTTTTTGTTTTTGTTTGAAACAGGGTTTCTCTGTGTTGTTTTGGTGCCTGTCCTGAATCTCACTTTGTAGACCAGGCTGGCCTTGAACTCACAGAGATTTGTCTGACTCTGCCTCCCAAGTACTGGGATTAAAGGCGTGCGCAACCACTGCCCAGCCTCATCCTCACCTTTAAAAGAAAACAAAAAGCATGAAATTATTTATCTTCTTATTTTAAGTTTAGCTTCTGTTCATAAGGTATTGTTTACATGTTAATACCTTTTGATATCTTCTAATTGTTTTGTAACCTTTATTTCTTCAATATGATGGTTCCTAAGGCATACATGCTTGTTAATAATAGTCATCTGGAACATGCTACCTCTTGGACTACAAGAAAGGGCTGGTATAACACTTCATATGTATTTGGTGCCTCAGAATATATATATATTTCATTGAAATTATATTTTTATTGAGTACAGAATATTTGAACTATAATTATGTTTTCCTGCTTGGAAAGTATACATATTACCATATTATGAACTGCCATCTAGAGTTATCAAGGTTACTAGATTACTATCAAGATGCTTATATGCACTGAACAGAGAATAACTTCGTTAAGAGAGGTCATAATAGCTTATTCATTTTCTACATCAAATATAAAATTAGGAATTGGTGCTAAACCAAATCCTTCTCGCAATATCTAATTTTTCCATTATAGAGTAAGTGCTTTGAAATGAGCATAAACTGATACTTTCTCTTATATTTTACTGTTTGCTGTTGGTGGGTCCTGCAATTAGCCAGATATTTAGGAAACACCACACAGGATCAAGTAATATTGGGCTTATTGCAGAGAACAGAAAGAACGGATTTAGGCATGAGAAGCACATGGCCAGGTTGTTGGCAATATGTTGGGAGCTTTTAAACCAGGCTTTCCAGGGAAGTTCTTTTCAGAGTACAATTGGCCACTGTAGTTTGATCACAGATGGGAAATATGGAAAAGATTCAGCCTCCAACTCATCGCAGATATCATAACTTCTAAATACTTTTTAAAAAATGGGAGTCCCTTGAGCTTCCACTCCTCTTCAGATACATGCATTTTCCTTGCTTCTTTAGTATCCTTTCCCACGTTTCACTACTTCTTATGTTGAAGTATTCAAATAAATGTTTCTTCATTTTTGTATATTCATTTAAAATAGGGACAAAAAAAATAGTTGGTAGCCATTGAAGACAATGCATAGCGAATGCTTAGATGTAAGTTTGGTTGTTGTGTGAATATCCCAGAAGCAAGTATCCATTTCCTGTGAAATGTCCTATGTTGCTCTAAGCAATAATTGATTGTTGGAGGCACACAAATAAACATATGTGAGAAGAAGAGACCAATCATTAAAACTTTTTAATTGACTGCACATAAGTCATTTTTCAGTTTAGAAAAAAATTATATTGGTATGTAAAATTTTTAAAAATGGAGGCTAGAAATATGGCTCAGTATTTAGGAACACTAGCTACTTCATCAGGTGACCCAGATTTGAATTTCAGAACCCTCATGGCAGATCATTACTGTGTGTAACTCTGAATACAGGGAACCTGGTGCCCTTCTCTGGCCTCCTCATGCATCAGACACATATACGGTGCATGTACATAATTCAGATAAAGAACTCATATGAATCAAAAATAATTTAAAAATACAATAAGTAAGAAGATGACATCAGCTGTCATACCAATGCATCTTCGGCTCTGCACCGAGCCCTGCTCAGTTCTTACTGTGCATCTACTTTCTTAAAAACACTCAGCAGTTAGGAACACTGGCTACTTAAATATCTGTTTTTATGCCAGGGAAACTCACATTTCCAATTTTATTCCTGATCTCAAGGTCCCTTTCTAATGTCTGCTTTTATAAGTCACTTTGAAATCATTACAGAAAAAGTTTAGTTTTCACGTATCTTGTATGTTTTCGGCATCTTGTATTCCTTCTCGTTGGCCACAGCCACAAGTGGACTTGCCTTTTAAAATTCTCTTACTTTAACTCCCATGCATAAATCCTATTGATTCTATATCAATATGAATAAAAATTTAATGATCGTATCCCCTCTCACCTCAGTTGGAGTCATCATTATCATGTGTTCAAATGGACACCTTTGCCCACACTGTTTCCCACTCATAATTGTTCTCCAAAAGGCAGAAGGAGTGATTTTAAATGCAAACTATCCAAATGCCCTCCTACTTTCTATCAGAGTAATGACATTATTATATGCTTCAATTTTTTTTCTTTGAATCTATAATGCAATCAATATGTAAAGGAAAATCTTACTATTATTAAATTCACCAAATAGATTCTCCCAAAATGTCTGGGGACAGCTGAGGACTTCCCAAATCAGACTTTGAAAAACAGTGCTCTCTTATGTTCTAATTTATCACTCTGAATAACTGTAAACTTTTCTATGTTGACAAAACTTGGTAGCATAATTTGTTCTATGAAGCAGTGGAAAGGGCTCAGGCGACCCACGGGGGTTCAAGTGCTTGGTGTGAACGCATGAGAACCTGAAGTCGCAGTGAGAGCACCCACGTACAAGGACGGACAGTAGTGACATCTTCAGTCTCAGGGCTGGAGTGGTAGAGGCGGGCAGGTCCCCTGTCTCACTAGACATAGAAGTTACGGTGGTCTCCAGATTCAGTTAGAAAGGAAGGTTTCAAATCTTAAGTGATAGACACAGAAGAAATATCCTCTTCTTTCTCAGGAGTGTTTTTAATTCCCAATACTTAGAAAAATTATTTTAGCCAAATGGAAATGATTCTAATGAAGTTGAATGGGGCCTTAGGCAGAATTTCAGAAAAGAAATCCTCAACTATAGGTTCACAGATTTTGGGTATCTTCTGATTCTGATGTGCTGAGAAATCTGGAAGCTAAGTTCAAATAAAATTGTGCATGTAGAATGTAAAATCATGTGCCCTAGACGTCAGTGCTGTAGAACGTACCATGGTAACAGTTGTTTTACATTTTTAGTACATATTGTACAGTTGGTGAAGCATAGGGAAATTATGTGTTTTGTTGTTGTTTGCTTTTTAATTTGCTTCATTGTTAGAAATAGATTTTCAATGGTTTCATGATAGGTAGAAAGATGTTAAAGAAAAACATTTCTTCCATTCACTAATATTTGAGCATACTACAAATAAAGGGAAAGCTAAGATGTTCTAAGGTTTCAGGCAAACTGCCAAATAGCACATTCCATTTTCTCTGCACATTAGGAGCTCTGACTGCGACTAAGTTCCTGCTACTGGAAACCCAGTCCAGTACGATCACTGTGCTGGATGTGTCTTGCCTGACTCTATGCTTGTGAGGAGGCCAGCTCTGTTTTACAGTTTCTATAAACAGGATCCAACTAGCCTGCTGGAGTCAGAACATGCTAGGGTGCTTCATATTCAATACACAACCTTATAAAGAGAAGAAAAATGAGCCTTGTCCAAAACTCTTACCTCAGCACCCACTGGCAAAAATAGAATGTAAGCTGGGGACCACGTCTCTTTGAAGCTGATTTTTTTAAAAACTCTCTAACAGGCCTCTGGTGGTTACAGATATTGATCGTCAGAAAGTAATCTGTTCGGGTTTGGGGGCATGCCACTACAAATTGTGGAATGCATTCCTTCCTCTCCAAGGACATGTTGAGCTTTTTATATTGTCCATACTGGCTCACTTGTCAGCTGTCTACTCTATTTGACATGAATTATTTTCTACCTTGTATGGGGTTATAATTAAATATATTTTTAAAATAAGGAATTTTATTAACATAGAATCTTTAGCTTGAGTCAAAACATTCTTTTCATCTTTTTTAGCTCTCATTTTTCTTCCATAATCATTATTTGATTCCCTCTGGCTGCCTGCTACTTATTTGTAGTAGTACCATTCATCCATTGAGACCTTTCCATCTGTCACACAGCTTTGCTTTCTTTACCCGAAGCTCTGTTCTCCCACTGTGCCATATTTACCACCCCCTCCGCCTTCTCCTTCCCCTTCTCTTCTTAGTTGGACTGAACACTATTTTGTGCAGGTGTTTTTGTATTTTATTTCTGTTATTTTTGATTTATAAAAAAATAATGTGAACGCATTTGCTAATATCTGAAGACTGATGTCACTTGTGAAAATTGTGTATTTCTTTGGGTTTTCATGAGAGAAAGTTGGGGTAGATCCAGAGCGTTTTAACATTCTGAATGTTAAGTGAAGCAGTAGGAATTGCACAACCAAGATTTGCATACGAGGAAAGAGTGGTGCAACCTTCTCCTTTCTATGTGTCTCCTTGCTTGTTTGTTAACCATTGCCAATTAGTTGCTTAGATGTGTGTGTGTGTGTGTGTGTGTGTGTGTGTGTGTGTGTGTGTGTGTGTGTGAGAGAGAGAGAGAGAGAGAGAGAGAGAGAGAGAGAGAGAGAGAGAGAGAGAGAGAGAGAGAGAGAGAATTTCAATGCTTGGAAATGCTCAGACACAAAAATTAACCTTTGTTGCTATCACTTCTCCTCAGACATTACCATTAGTTTCTACTAAAATTATATGTCCTCTGACAAATGAAAGGATTCCAGAGATAGGAAAAGAGGTGAAAACACTGATAAACTAGTTAACTGATGAAAAAAATCTCTATTTTGTTTACATTATTGAAGACCGTATATTGTGGTGTGGTAATCCTTCAAAGAGAAGGCTCTTTCCTTCCTGATGGATCTGTTAGGTGGGACTGATAACGTAGCAGAGAATAGAATATTTTCCAGAGGAAATTCAAAGTGAATTTTAAGAATAAGGAATTTTACATTAACATATGTCATTGTATTTAAAGTTTTGCTTCCAAGAAGATTGTTATTTTTTCATTTTTTGTAATCTAATACCTTGAATTTAAATCTTGAATGATATTCAACATGTTTTCCACATTAGTTTGCAATACCCTGGTGATAAATTTCTTCTCGGCATGGAAAGTATTGAAGTGTGTGTCTTGGGATATAAAGCATGCAAAGCTTTTCCTGACAACAGATCCTTTATCATCATTCAAAAAAAATCAGTGAATCTGTGATCATCTTTTAGACTACAGTTGTTGTAGTTGGTAGATAGATAGATAGATAGATAGATAGATAGATAGATAGATAGACAGATACACACATACATACATATATATATATATATATATATATATATGTATGCATACATAGATAGTTGAACAGACATATGGAGGAGTATCTGTGTGATAATTTAGTATCTGTGTTGTATTTTGATTATGTTTTGAAAAGTAGAACCAAACAAGAAGCTAGTTTTGCCTAGTCAACTAAAAATAATTCTGTTATTTTTGAGGTTTGCTGATGACCAAATGTACTTGTATCAGGTTTTACAGGTTCATAGTATTGAACTTAGGTCACTAAAAGTCTTTGTTAAGCAGAAGGTACAGTTGTGCTGACAAGGAACTCACGGTGTAGCTAAGGGAGGGAAAACACTGACTCCTTGCTTCTGCCTTCAGTGGAATATAGAACACTGAGAATATGTTGGTTGAAGAATGGTTGATTAAATTTGGATCATACCAAATTAGGGCCAGGAAAGGAAAAACTGTTCAAGGGCATATCTGGACACCATATAAATGATGGTGTTAGGGTGAGAAAAGTTTCAGAGAGTAATGTATGTATGTCTTTAGAACTGTACAGGTCCATTTTATTTTGTAGGAAGATAAGATGATAGAAGAAACATAATTAAAAACATTAATACATACTGAGAGTTGACTGTGTCAGTCCTTCAACAGTTAAAGATGATCAAGTAACTTCTTGCCTATAGGAAACTCCTCCAACTATCTCCTATCTATCTATCTATCTATCTATCTATCTATCTATCTATCTATCTACCATCTGTCATCCACCATCTCCAACAATTGTAGCTCAAAAGAAGGAGAAAGATGCACTGAATTTTTCTGAATAATACAGGATCTGTTATTAGAGGAAGCTTTATATGGAAAATGATTTTAAAAAAGTTGTGTTGAATAGAAAAAGGAGATGTCTACTGACACTGCAAGGAGGTAGGTTTGGAAGGGCAAAAGTCTTAGGAAAAAGGAAAACTTACTGAGGTTAAATTGGCATTTAGGGGTATTTCACTGGAGCAATTTACATATTTGTAGCTGGGAGCTAAAAAGTCAAGGAGAATAAACACTTTTTTTAAAATAATTATATTTCCCACCATTCTTTTTCAGTTTCACAATGCCAGTGAAGAAATACCAGTAAGGAGGATAGGTACTGCCAATGAGAAGGGACCTTGAAAATGAACAAATACTGAGGTATACAATACCTAGGTTTACGATTGAGAACTGCACACAACTACCTAGGCTCCAGGAGTAAGAGGAAATCGGAGGGTGGGCAGTTCTCACATTTGAAATGCAGTCCCAAATGATCTCGATTTCTAGTAAGACGCCATCTTGTTCACGTTTCCCATTTGAAGTAAAGGTTGTGAAGTCATCTAGAGCTTTCATGTGTGTTTTGTTCACATTTAAGTCTGTGTGTCATGTGTGTTTCTGGTGCTAATGGAGGCCGAAGCAAGATCAGTTCACCTAGAACTGGAGTTTTGGATGGCTGTGAGCCATCCTGTGAGTGCTTGGGAATCAAACCCTAGTTCTCTGTAACAGCATCGAGTACTCAGCAACTGAGGCTGTTCTACAGTCCAGTGTTTTTGTTTCTTAATTTTAAAATTTTTGCTTTGAGACTGAATTTCATGTAAGCCAAGCTGACCTTGAACTCACTGTGGGACCAAGGATGACCTTGAAATCTCAAATTGTCTTCTGTGATTACAGACATACACCATCAAACCAGGCTTTCATTCAGAAACTTTCAAAATCTTTCTCCTCTCTCCATTAAAAACCATTTTTTAAGGATGTTCATGAATGTTGGAAAATGACCAAAATTCCTGAAATAATCAAAAGAAAAAGGTGAAATGTTAAAATAAAGATATACAATGTTACAATATCTCTGAATAATGTTTCACATAATATAAATTTTCAGGGCTGAGAAAATGAGTCAGCAGTGAAGAACGCATACTGCTCTTGTAGTTACCAAGTTTGGTTCCAAGCACTCAATTCAAGTGGCTTACCACTCGGGAACCAGCTCTGTTCTCTGTAGGCTCCTTCATTCTTGTGTGCATACACATAGACAAACGTAAATATAATTAAAAATAATAGAAATATCTCTTTATGTATGTATATGTACTCTTTAGATTACTTCTTATAAAATAGAATCAGTAGAAAAGAATCACACTGATATTTTTCTTAACAAGCATTTGGACATGGTTGAAGGTATTTTATGTGGTGAAAAAGAGGACACTATAAACTGTAAAGGTCAACAGTTAGTCTGAAATTATGCCTAATTTGTAATCACTTGGAAAACAAGAAACAACATCAAATAGTTAGCTATTTCTGTGTTTTGGGAAATAGGCACATTATAGTAGTTATTGTGAGAATAAAACAAAGGAGCTAGGTCTTACAATTACTCTAGATTTCTGATTGATGGTAATTCTTTATGGTCCACCATTTAGGGAAAGGAAACCAAGGAAGAAAGTTCACATTATGAGTCTGAGTCCAGGAACAATGTAATAAGTAAGGACACTGTTATTGCTGGAATTCACAGAACCAAATGTTTGAGAATTGAGGACTGAGGAAAGAAGCTCAGCAGATCAGTATGACCCAATAGAATCCATGCATGCATATGAATAAACTACAATAATATGACTAATGAACCAAAGGAAAGAAAATCCACTATGGAGTTTCATTCAGGCAAGCAAGCAAATAAGCAAATAAGCAAATAAAAACCCAAGGAAAATTTAAAAAAAAAAATAAAAAAAACCTAGAACATCTACAAGGTTGCAAATTGACTAGAAAGCTCCAATGCAGAGTTCATATGGTGCAGAGAAACTGGAGTGATAGTAAGCAACAAACCTTGTGGACAGAAAACATTTAGGTGAATGAAAGAAACCCTTTCCCCTAAAATCTGTGAAAAGAGTAATTGGACTTTCAAAGGAAAAATGAAAGGACCTTGAACTGTATGAACATACAAAATATACTAAATAACATACAGAAAAGGAAAATTATTCACAAAAACATACAGTATCACTGAAAATATCACTATAGACAAACTTCCAAAACAGTTATTCAAAAAAGTTTAAGAAGTAATCCGAAAATTGTTGAAACAGAAGAAATGAAGAGAGGAAAAAAAGAGGTGAGACAGCTAGGAGGTAGAGGCAGAATGGCAGATTAGAGCTTGCCAAGTTGAGTTCTATAATAAAGTGAAGGACCTAACAAACAATTGTGAGGCATGTGAATTTCAGGTTAGAACAAAGCCCAAGCCCAACCATCCGTCGGGTATGTATGTGAAAGTACTGATGGACTGTGTTCAGCAGTGTCCTCAGATCCCAGAGCAAGACCGTAGGCTCCCGGTTGAACACACAGCAGCAGTCTGAGTGAGAACCTGCCAGGTTTTGGCAGAGCCATCCCTGTCTTGCTAAGAACAAGTAGAAAGTTTGAATTGTATTTTTGATCATTTAATTTTTATATTAGTTTTAAGATATTCATGAATATTCTTGAGTTGGAGGCTAATGACAGAAAGTGACAGGCTCCGGCCACCCCAAGAAGAGTTGGGCAGTCTTACCATTGTCTTCCCATAGGTGACCGTGAATGGCCACCCCAAGAAGAGTTGGGCAGTCTTCCCATAGGTGACCGTGAATGGCCACCCCAAGAAGAGTTGGGCAGTCTTACCGTTGTCTTCCCATAGGTGACCGTGAATTCTGGACATGTTAATATATCCAGTTGATGAGTTTCTTCCTGTTACAGCAGATTCACCTACCTACCTGTTGAGATAGGAAAATGGCTATAACTTTATGGGATCCAAGAAATATATGTTAAATAATAGAAGGAATCTGGTAGAAACATCATAATTGTTTTTACCTTCAGAAGAAAAAAGAAAGATTTTAGGGCACTGCTGAGCTTTCTCTCTCTGCAATATAGAGCCATCCTAGTCACATATAAGGATAACCCACAAAAAAAGAAAAATCTATCATTATTGTGTTGTGGCCAATTGTTTTCAATTTCAGATGATGTGCCAAAAATATTGGTGACAGGCTTCTTAAAACATTAGGAAGATTATGCTTTTTAGTAGATCTAAATAAAGTAGATTTTTAAAAGATAAATCTAACAGTGAACTTCAAAACTGAGTGTTATTCGGTTTAATACATATCATATATAGTATATTATATGTATAATATATAATATATATTATATGTATAATATACATGATAGATACACATATAAAATGTATATAGAACAATAGAATCATGGGTGCCAAAATGAACTAGCTATACAGAGGCCTAGTATAAAATACAAAACTCTCAAGATGATGCTCAATAATTTAAAGGAAGATACACAGAGGAAAGGATTAGAAAACAATCACCAATATTTCAGCATGTATACACACACACAAACAAATAAACATTTACACACAGCACACACACACACATATATATAACTTGCATATATCAATATAAATTTTACATATATCTATGTATAAGTATATAATTGTGCATGTGCATTTTTATATACAAAACTATATCCCAATCAACCATATTTTATGCATTAGACTAAATTACTGAAGAACATATAGGTATGATATTGGTATCAATGAGATTTATTAGGTGATACTTGTGATAAATGCAAGGGTGTCAACTATAGAGATTTAATTCAATAGCTTTGTTAAAAGGAAAGTGTGCCTTGAATGTTTCATTATCGATATGACAGACCTAACAGCAGAGTGAGTGATGTTAGCCACTCTATTTTAGGAATCTAAAATCTATTTAATGTATTATCTCATTCCTAATCACTCATAAAGATAAAGTGTGATGAATTCTAATATTTTGTATAAGAACTCATAAAGTAAGTGATATCAATAATCTGAGAATTTACTTGCTTCTTACAAGTTCAAATAGTGTCAAAAGTGCCTAGGCAAACATACTCAATTTACAAGTTCACCAAGTATATTTCAAGAAATACAGAGAAATGTGGGTATAATTCTGTTCTCAATAACTTTGAGGATGAGGGCAGCTGAAATATAATGGAAGATTAAAATCAGAATGTTAATTTATCACTTTAAAAAGCTACAGTGAGAAAAACATGAGAATTGATCAGTATGTAACTCTATGTGTTATATGCAACCAGGGAGTACCAAACAAAAGTGTAATAGAGAGTTTACTAGCAGAGTGTGTTCAAATAAGCAATGCATTTTTGAGAGCAACATCTACAGAATGTCCCACACCATGACCCCATAAAAAGTAAGAAAAGAAGGCCCAAAGAATAAAATTTAGGACAAGATCACTGTCTTTGGTAAAATGTAGCATGAAAAAGCAATAAAAGTTAATTGTGCTGTTATTTTGCAATGTTGTTTTTTTTTTCAAGAAGAAAGTTTTCTTCAGTAAAAGAAAGTAAAGTTCATGAATTATCTGTAACTTAAAACTGAAGAGTGTCTCTCATCATAATAGAGGGCAACAAATCCCGAATAATAATAGAATGAATGGAGGATGCTTTCATGATAGAAAGTAAATGCCAGGTAAATAATAAGCTATTTTCAACATTTGCAGATCAAGCATACAAAAATAGAGCATGCTCATATAACCCAGGTATGCAGATATCAGGTATATGAAGGACAGTGGTTGATTAATGTTGAAAGGATTCCAAATTCAGTAAAGCCTCCACCAACAAAAGTCCTTCAGAAGAATGAAGAGGCATGAAAGAATTCTTCCCATGGAGACCATGTGCCTGTGATGTTCCTTACACTTCTACTTTAAGATATTATAAGGGTCTACATTCCAGTGATAAGTCAGTTTTGGTAACAGAGCCAGTGATAATGGCTTAATTATCCAACTCAGTTCAAATACACAAAACTGAGTGAAGGTCTGGACTATCAACTTAGATTATAGTTTTCATAACTAACAGAATGATGGACACATGGTGAAGGGTAGCATTGGGCAGAAGTATAAATATCTTCAAGAACTCTTACTCAATTTGGAGATTCAAGAATACACTGCAGGTTTCCCTTGTAGAGCACTAACTACTCTAAAATACATCATTTGGTCTTGGGACTGAAAGAAGGTTTAAAGACTTCCATTTGTATATTTTCTAAAACAGATTTAATAACAACGATGGTAAGGCAAGGAGTTAAATGAGAGCACGTTAAATAAATGGACACTTTTGCAAAACACAAGTGTTATTCTTATATCTGAAGAACCCAGTTTTGTCACGTGTACTCCAACAGCTAATATTTAATGAGCACACAAATGTATTTTGTATGTACTACGTTATTCATATAGATTATCATTTGTTAATTTATACTAATTCCATAAAGTAGAACTGATAATCATAATTCAAACAAAAAATCAGACCTTATTTGTTTGATCGCAGTGCCCCAATTGGAATAACCAAAATTTCTATTCCTGTTAATGTGCCATAAGAACCCCCATTCCCATCCTTGATGGTCTTGTGTATTACTGATGTTGCTGGAAATAAAACTAGCCTAAACTGCAAGTTTGAGAAACAAAGAAATGGAAACCCACTCAGGATAGCCCGCGTGCCTTTTGGGAGGTTGGCAGTCAAATGTGGCACCAAACTCTGGATCCAATCAAATGTTTAGTACTGTCCAACCTTCCATATGGTTGAGAGATCTCGGTCTGTCACAGATGTCGCAGGCAGTTTCCTACATCACCTGCAAGACATATGTGACGTAAATGTGAAAGCAGAATTTCTAAAAGTTACCCCAGCTGGGTTTGTAACAGTGAGGCCCAGCACAGCAGCAAGCATGGGAAACAGGCAAAGTTGGGGCATGATTCACTAGGAGGCCCTGAGTCAGCCGCTCAGCGGGGAGCTGAAATGGGGCATTGTGAGGAGGTGGGGGCAGGCCTGGCAAAAGAAAGGCTTGGAGGACACATTGAATCACAACTTCTAACAATGTGGCATGGCTATGCAAACAACATCAGACAGGCCAAACTTACATGCAAAAAAATCAAAGACTGAGTGACTCTTTTTGGGCAAGTGTGTCTGGCAGCCTACAAGGAGGAAAGGCAGGGCTGTAAGTACAATATGCTCTGCAGACAGAGGAGAGAGTCCCAGCCCAAAGACTGCTTCCATGTGTGTGAAGTGTGGAAAATCTGAGACATGTACTGGGCTCTTCAGCCACATTCTCACCCTTGGAAAGCAATCAGCCACCAGACAAATCTCCAATTTAAATGACAGCAAAATGTATGCTTGGAGTTATCTGACCAAATTAGCAACTGAGATATTCTAGGGACTTAATTTGCACATTGAGTTTAAATAGTATTATATTTGTATAGCAGATTATGTAACCAAAAATGTTAATGGGAAAATGATTTTATTTGACTGGGAAATTGGCACCCTGACTAATTGTCTGAAAAGGAGCCAATTTTAAAATTCAGATGCTATTTGAATGAACTAGTATCGACTGAATTAGGATTTATTGTGTAAAATATGCAGTTTTTAAAAATAGTCTAAGGAAAGAAAAAAAGGACTCAATGAACTAAGTTTGTGTACCTCACTGTGTTCTTGGATGAGCTTCAGAATGACATAAATAAGGCCATCAAAATCATCAGGGAGCCTGGGGCAGCATGGGACATGATAAATGTCCTAAAGTGAACATACTGTAGGAATATGGTTGTTGTTATTGTTGTTGTTGTTGTTTTGGTGTTCCTTAGTAGGATGGGTTGGTTTCTGTATGCCACTTAGCCAGATAACAATTCTTTGCTATAATGTTTGGTTACTTTTGTATAAATACCTAGGAGTATTATATGCTTATTCTGTATACATTGTGCACATTGGTATGAGGTGGCACATGCTTAGGAATAACTATGCTTTCAATGTGATATTTAGTGTGTTTGGTATGTTATGGAAGCTCAAGTTTATAATAAATGCTGATAATATTTTTTTCTTACCACGAAATTTATTAGCTGTAACTGGCAGACAATAAATAAGAAATAATACTTGATAGTAATTATTTTCATGGAAGGAAGTTTTTATTCTTTAGAAAGATTTCCTTTGTTAGTCGACTGTAAGGATCTTATTATTCAGGTTATCCTGTCTCCTCCAGAGCAAGCTTGGATCTTGTAAACAACAGTTAACTGGCCCTTTTCTTCCATAACTTGCCTTTGGGGTGTGGAAAAGTACAAGGCTTCTTCAGAAAAGCCTTTCCTCTTCACCCTATCCCTGGCAGCCCCCCTCTCTAAGACAACATCTTCAAGTTGCCATAGACAAACTGTGAGTGTTAAATGAATATCCTTGACAGGAGCTAAGTCTTTTGGGCATTAAAATAAAGTTTTGCCTCTCTCTTGGCATGTGAAGATTGAGCGTGTGCTTTGACACTAGTAGCAGAGGATGTGAGCAAGGCAACTTTCAGAGCCTCAGAGGTGTCGGCAGAAAGAAAAATCAGCAGTCGTAGGAAGTATCAAGGTAATTTCCTACCTGTAGAATACCAGGAAGTCAGTCAGCTCATTGTCCCTCTTGGCCGATAGAGCCTCCTTCCCTGTTGTCAAATACCACAGAAGCTATCTTTCAACTTCTAGTGCAGCAGTTCTCTTAGAGAGAAGCACAGAGGTAGGAACAAAACCATGTGCAAAAATTTTAAAATCGTGTTTCTTGATTCATTCACATGAAGGTATGTTGTTATTGTTGGGGGGAAATTTCTCTTGAATATCTCATAACCAGAATACTTATTACATTTGTTTGAATTTCTTCAAGAATGGAAACTATCATTTTCAAAGGGAATAAATGTTTCCAATATCTCCTGGTTTGTTTCAGGTTTAGGATTGTAAAATATCTTTGTATTTGCATTGTGGGTGTAGGAACCATTTTCTTGCTGGTGCTGAAATAGCCCAATCTTCCTATTGATATGTAGTATGTACAAACTGATGTCTACCTGTTACAAATTGAGGCTAGGGGATTTTATTTTTCACCAAGGTCCAAACCTATGTATCCCACAACCAGGGTAAGAAATAGGATGTTATGCATAGTAAGGTTTACAGTCACTTGAATTTTCTGAATACTTTCATTTGCTTATTTTTCAAATTTTCAAAGTAGCAAAATGTCACCACATAGAGGTTGCACCTATGTTCAAACATTTTGGTTTTGTAAAGATCCTCTAGTAACCTCATCACATAATTTCCATTAATATTTAATTCATTGCACGTAGCAACCTGTATAGCTATAGGAGAGGACATAAATTAGCATTGCAGAGTATGAACATTTGCTTCATGGCAAAACTGTTTCTTCTGGCAACCATTTTGCATTTTTAAAGCCACAAGCACTCTGTGTAACAGAACTCCAAGCAGCGGGGCAGCAAACTGGGATGAAGATACTGTAACTAAACGAAGGAGGGCTGAGGGGTTAAAAACTTTGCTGGATGATTTTACCATGACTGCCCCAAATTCATACTCTTAGTACATGAATGAAGAGAGTCCCCTGTGAGATTTATAAACTTGCTGGAAATGGATGAGAAACCTTCTGCTCTGCTGGAGTTTGTAAGTAGTTTCTAGGAGCTGCTTTCTACACAACTGAAATTGATTGGATTGTTTTACTTTTCTTCTGGCAAGAAATGTTTTTCATATCTGCATATTTTACTCTCTGTTCTCTTGGTTGGCTTGATGACAGAGCTTTCTGCAAGACCCAGACACAAAACATTTCTTCTGTGGAGGCTCTGAATGTACTCTCTTGGTCTCTGGTCCACCTTGGAGTGTGAGCTTCGTTTCTTGGATAACTTGTACAGTACAGTATTTCTAATCTGAGCTTAAACACTACTCAGTTCCAGGTTTGAAAAGCTATGGACCAATTCCTGTGAGGAGAGATTACCTACCATAGAGCCTTATGAACTTGAATTCCTTATGAACAGTGACTTCTTCAGATTATTTCTTACCAGCAACTCATGGCAGATCTGGGCATGAGTAGCAAGCTAACCAGAGTGTCTTTTTAACCTTCATAATGAGAAAAAAGATAAAGCATTTTTCATCAGACATTCTCCTAGACACCTTCTGTGTTACAAAATTGTCTAGTCATTTGTAAGAAAAGTAAAATAATACTCATAATCTTTTAATTGGCAAACACTCCTTTTGTCTTTATTTTTAAAAACAGGAAGTCATTAAAAATAAATCAAATCATAATTGCTTGTAACCCAATTAATATTGTCAAAAGAGGTAGAAAAGGAAGTGGCTGATATCCATTGTTCTCTAGAGGGTGAGGTAATTTACTATCCCCACCCCTGTTCTTGAAGTTAGTCCTTGTTTCTATTCCAAACTTTTGAAATTTTGTGCTATATATGATGAAAAGATATGTGCTATAATTACTATCTCTCCTTTGAAAGATATACCATAATCTAACAAGGAATTATATGTAGGTATAGAATCTTTATACATATATGCATCTATTATTGCCCAGTAAATACTGCATAAAATTCAGTGGAAATCTGAGTATATCCAAATAAACCTTTAGACATAGAAAATATTGAATTATCAATATTATAATTGTTATGACCAGGCCAGATTCAATTATATGTTCTACTTAAACTGCATCTTCTTTTAGGCCAGTTATTCAAACTTTCACCTATATAAACAAAGTAATAATATACATCAGCTAAATTGTTGTGTAAGTTAAATGTGTCAGTGTATGTAAAGTTCCTATACGTGACATAGTAAATACACTGTAAGCATTAGTTACTGTGCCATGATAGCTATTGTTGTATTATATGAAGTACCCTGGTACTAACCAAGCACAATTAAAACAAAGGATAGAGATGAAACATTTTAATGTTAGTATAAATCATAATGGATTTACTTGCTGTTAACAGGTCTTTCAAGTCCTTACCATCTTTCAGCTTGCCAGCTCCATTTAATAGCTACTCAGGTATCAAATTTTAAATAAGTGTTGTAGAAGTGAAGCATACAACAGAGTTTAAATTAATTAAAATTTTGGTTCATCTGAAAACTATTTGTGTATGATAATCATTGAAAGTTTTATAAATGGATGAATTTCAAAATCAGGCTTTGTGAATGGTGATAACATACCAGCGTAATAGATATCATGCCTCATAAAAAGCAAAACCAAGATTGATAAAATAGGTCATTGTTCTGGGTGTGTCAGGACAGGCAGTGTGGTGGTTCTGGCTACTGTGTTTACTGTGCTTCCCCATCTTGTTGCCTGAAATGCTTTTCTTTTGAGTTTTCACATGTGATTTTCTTTTCTTTCTTTCTTTCTTTTTTTTTTTTTTTTTTTTTTTTTTTTTTTTTTTTTTTTTTTTTTTTTTTTTTTTGCTAGAGAGCTGTGAGTTTCTCCAATCAGCAGGATTGAGTGTGATATCCTTTATCAGCATCTGAGTTGCTGCCTATAAGAAACAGACACTTCTTTTGTATTTTAGGATTGGAGATGTAGCATTACTTGAAGGAAACTACAGATAAAGCTTATATCAAGATGAGTAACAGTAAAATTATAAGCTGATTCATAATCCAAACGTATATAGGCAATATCAAAGAATCATCAGTTTCAAGCTTAGAAATAAGGAAATCAGTCAGATTTAATCCTTCCCATTTTATAAAGGGGTTAAACTGGACAAAATCATACTAAAGTAGCAGAAATTTAAAACAAATTTAAATGTGCTTTCCTTCTTTTCTTCTTGTTTTTTTCCTGTGGAGTGCGTGAAATACTAACTTTCTCCATCTCACAACGCCCTTGCGTTAAGAACATTTGAAAGCAAGTAAACAGTAATTATTATTGACCTTATAATAGACTCTGGAATCACTAAGCAGTATTTAAATCTTTATGGGAACTGGAGGGACTAGGGAGTATCATCTTAATTAGGATGTTTAGATTACATATATTAATTGTTAAAGCATTCATTTTACAAAACAAAGGGAAGTTAATAGGGAAGGCAATAGTGTAGATGTTTCCCTAATTTACAATCTTTCGTAGGAGCTCACATAGGTGACTGAAAGTATGAAATCAATTGGAGGGGGGGCTATTTTGTGGCAGGGAGTTGGTTTCATTGTAAGTGGGGCTAGATCATAATTGATGATCATCAATTGTTATTTGCACTGACAATAGCATTTTGTTATATAGTTGAGCCTTTATTTAACTCATCTTAGTCTCAGACTTAGGAATAGGAGGCTTGCATTTGGTCTTGGCGAAAACTCTTGCTGTTTCTCTGGGAAGCACAACCCTGGTGCTGTTCCCCCTCCCTCTCTTCCCTCCCCCTTTCTTGAAGTGTTTCTTTTGTTTGTCTCCATTACACCAGCACGAAGGGACACAGTGTTTCTGCACAGTGGGAGTTGGCAATCTCCGAAGAGGCTTTTCCAGCACTGCTTTTTAGACTGAAATCATTACAATCTTCAATAGCTACTTGGATTAAAAAAAAAAAAAGGAAAGAAACTAGCACATTATTATTCTCAAAACCATCTCAATGTAAAAAGAGGCTATTTGCTTGGTTCTCCCCCAGCTCCCCTTCCCCCTCCTCCTTCCACCCCTGCTCATCTTGCTTCTTTTCTTTCTAAATGTGTTTCCTTCACACCTAAGTTTAGTTTGCACGGTCCTGATTCACTAATTCTATTCAAACTGAGTATACAAATGCATTTTTTCCTGTTGGTTCTGAATATTTTTACATTGCTTATGCAAAGGGCTGTAGTCAGATAGCTTGCACTCATTGGTATTTGATTTCTATCTTTGAGAATGTAAAATATATCGGCACTGACCCAAATAATGCCTTCAAACCCAGAAGTTATTAACATGTTTAGTTGATGGAAAGTGGTTTTAATAATAACTTCACAACAACTTCTAAGTTGGTGAGAATTCTTGTTTATAGTTATTCATGTGTCAAAGTCTGACCCCATGTTTTTCTGAAGGTTCCTGGGTGCCTGCTTTCATCACTAGTCTTCGCATTTGTTTATACTCATGCCTACAAGTGACCTGAAGTACACAGTAGAAGCTCAGGGCTGAGGATCTGCTTGCAATGCCGTCACCCCATGAAAGGGATTAGTGTATACGAACACATAATATTTCCAACAGAGGTTTGTAGTGTCGTCTTGTAATTTATTTGTTCTCTTCAGTGAGCATAACTATGAATAATGAAAGGGAATGGCATGAATAAAAGAGAGTAATTTATGTACTTTATCAAACCTGCACAACCAATTTATATCCTATGAAGCAGCTTGATGTATGTGTATTCAAATAAAATAAAAATAATATGCTTTTTGTGGTTAAGTGTGGAAAGTACCCAAGGAGGGAAAACAAAACAAACACGTATAATTTGCTATGTATGCTTTTTATTTTTATATCTTTTAAAATAATAATTCAATGTGAAGCCATAGAGTGTGCTTGTTCCCATTTGAACCTGTAGTGTTCCCTGGACACACCATGGAATTTTCCCAGAAGATGTCAGTAAAGCCATTCTATGCTTCTGCCTCTAGTCACAGGGCTTCAGATGGAATAACTACTAGAGAGGTTTACTTTTTTCATTAATATTTTTTCCATAGTACTTATACATACTCAAGTCAAATAATTCCACTCATTTCTTTATCATTTAATTTTATTTCTTCAAGTTACTTTACAGGAGCAAAATGCAAGTTTATCTAAAAGCAGATTCTTTCAATAGAGCTCAACAGCATTTTTCCTGTCAAAATTTGGTCTATAATTCAGGGTGTAGTTTAAGTGATATTTTTCCACTACCCCCCTCCTTGTCTTGTGTCTCTAGCGGCCTCCGTTGCAGTCCTATGGCCCTGCATTTGCTTTCTGTAGTGCCTATTACACATTCTTCTGCAACATCAGCATCTCTGCAGCATCACCCTCGCCTATTGTTTAAATGCCTTAAGGAGCTCCATGTTGTGTTCTCGTTCATCTAAAGACCTCCCTTAGCACTTTGTATGCTGAGACTTGTTGAATGTTCGACTAACAGATAAAACATGGCTTTGGTTTAGACTCTCTTCTGTGTGATACAGCTTCTTATGTTTGTTTATGCATTAGAAATACAGCAATCTTGGCATTAGCAATAAAGGGTTGATATGGGAATGAATCAGTACTTACTATTGTCTTCAAATCCATATATGTATATTTATATATACATCACTAATATGGAAGTATTACAGATGAGATTCTGATATTAAAGAAAAATTCATGAAAACGTATGCATAAATTTTATTTCTCGGGCTCTGTCAATAGGACTGTAATGTGAAATAGAGTGAAGAGTTCAGCTTTAGTATTGCACCTGCAAATTACAGCTCTTCAAAATGCACCAGTTGCTCAAAAGGTTATGAATGATGTCATTTGCATCCACATAGGGAAAGACTCTTGCCTGACTTTTCAGATCTGTTTACAGAGATCCAAAATGTTCTGCCTATTTGTTTATCTAAAATATGTTTCTTTGTGAATGCCAGAAAGGAATTGCTACTGTAATCCCAGGTATCAATTTGCTTCCTGTAGGATATTGCCTTATGATCCCTGCTGGCTCTCCTTTTATTTTTTTATAATCCCAAGCCCTAGAGGC